GCATTCAAAACTTCCAAGTTGTCATGTCATGGAAAACGACCCAAGAGTTAGATGAGACAGGAAGACTGTAAAGTACTGGAAACAAAAGGTTTTGTTTTGTTTTGTTTTGTTTTCAAGGCGTATTAGGACTGGTGGAGGGATTAGGACAGGGAGGGAAGAGAAAAATCATTATCACCACAGGTCTCGCCTCGTGCTTTGCTTTGTCGATTCTGGCTCATGTCCTTCCTATTGAAGCCTGAGATTTAACGAATTTTTTCAGAGTTTTAAAATGCAAAAGTTAATTGTTTTGACAACATTATGAAACATCAGTACTTCAATACCGCGTAAGGACTTTTTTTCTCAGTCTAAAGCTACCCACAACCCCAGAAAAGTATCATGTTAACCAAGGCTGACAAAGAAATTCACTGTACCTCAAAGCATCTCTAACCTTATAATCCTGGTAAAAGATATAAGCCTTCCCCCAGGAAGGATGAAAGCCAAAAATCTGCAAATAGCCCTCGACACCTCTGTCACTTCTGACAAAGCAATGGTTTTATGAGAAATTTCTAGAAACAACCAAGTGACCTTCTCATCAAAGAACTGGGATTCTTTGATGTCTCCAAAGAGAATGCCTTTTAGTTATTTAACACAAATACACACACACACACACACACACACACACACACAAAGGGCCTGAGTAAGATAAAAATATACCCTGTGTGAAATAAATTCATTAAAGGAAAGTGGTATTTGTAGATGGAATTCGATGGTTAATTGCTGAACTTTTCAACACAGAGTAGAGAGGCAGGTAAAAACGTCACAAAACAGCTAACATTTTGAGCACTGACCATATGGCAGCTTCTCTTTTGAATTGTTTTACATATAAGAATTTATCCTTGCAACAACACTGTGTAGATGTAAAAAGTAAAGCGCAGAGAGGCCAAGTCACATGTCCAAGGTCACACAGCTAAAAAGTGGCAGAGACGGTATTCAAATCCAGGCACTCTGACTCCAGATAACAAACATGCCCAGCAGCTTTCCTCATACTAAAGGGTGAAGCACTGGGAGCTTTGCAGTAAACCTCACGGACCATACAAGCAACAGGGTCACTGTCGGCACATTCTGTACCTTTGTGTAAACTACAAAACGATGCACACATACCCCTTAGCTAAATTTCAAAATGGTGCCCTTCCTTTCGGGGAAATGCAGCACACAACCATGCAAATGGCTTGGCTGGCAGAATGTGGGCTGGACCGCACCCTCTCTGTCACTGCCATCAGCCAGGCAACCTTGTGTAGGACACCTGCCTGAACGGATCATGCTGTGCCCTGAAACTCAAAAAACTTATTTCCTGGATGATAAGAATTTAATTATCCGTTCTTTGTCTCCTCAGTGCTAGGACACAGTTGGCGCTTAGGTGATTATGGAATGGATTCATTTAATATCCTTCAACAAAGATGACATTTAATTACTTTAGTCAATAAATAAATAAACGGCCATAATGGTGTCTATGTAAACATAGTATATTTGATTTAGTATAAGAAACTAAAATCTTTGCACACACCGAAACTGATTTCCTCTAGTCACCCCAGAAATGGTAAAGGGGGACATCTGGGTGGCACAGTCCGCTGAGTGTCTGACTCTTGGTTTTGGCTCAGGTGCTGATCTCAGGTTCATGGGATCAAGCCCCGGGTCGGGCTCTACTGGCAGCATGGAGCCTGCTTTTCTTTTTCTCTCCTCCTGCTTGCACACAACTCTGTCTCTCAAATCAATAAATAAGTCTTTAAAAAAAGAAATGGTAAAGGATACTTTTGACTTTTTCATTCTTTTTTTTAAAGATTTTATTTATTCATTTGACAGAGATCACAAGTAGGCAGAGAGGCAGGAAGAGAGAGAGGAAGGGAAGCAGCTCCCTGCTGAGCAGAGAGCCAGACTCGGGGCTCGATCCCAGGACCCTGAGATCATGACCTGAGCCGAATGCAGAGGCTTTAACCCACTGAGCCACCCAGGCGCCACCCCCCTTTGACTTTTTCAAAGGGAAAGAGTTGGAAAGAAAGAGCCTACTGATACTAACCACATTCTAGTTTATAGCATTGTAGTTTCCTGGATTCACACACATTCAGTCCTTAACATGACCCATGAGGCTGGCATTATTATTCCCATTCTTTAGATTAAGAACTGGAGGCTCAGAGAGAGTTGAGGGCTTGCTCGGCATTACACAACCAGCTACATCAGAGCCAGATCTCAAATCCAGTTCTGTTTCTAGGTCCTGTGTGTTTTTCATTAGTCGCATGACTTCCTGTAATACACAACGGCCGTGTTAAAAAAAAAATATTTCCAAAGCATGTCAAATTTTAAAATTAAAATATATCTTCATTCATTCTCTCGGAAAGAATACAGGGATAAAAATCACCTGCAGCCTGTCCATGCCCAAAGCCCTGAGCCCGTATTACAGGACGATCTGAAAGTTTCTGGAACACATGCAGTATCCTTGAGGTCAGCTCCCCTGAACTACTGCTTAAGTGCTTTGGCCAAATGGTTCTTTCTCCTTAAGTACGGACTGACTTCTCCTTCCGGAGAACACATCAACCCAACTCTTGGGAAAAGAGAGACAACATCACATAAACCAAACATTTCAATCACTGAGAAACAACATCCAGGCCCATACTATTCACATCTTGCTGCCAAATATGAGAAAGACAGATTCCAAGCCTTCTTGGAAGCTCTTTGCTCTGCTTTCCCCAAGACAAACAAAATATATAACAGAAAACCAAGTGACAATCTCTTCTCAAATGAAGGGGACCTTTACCGAAGCCTCAGGCCGTGGGATGATTAATGCTCTTGAAAAGAATAAAAAACATCAAGCGTTTGTGGGTTGCCATAGAAACCTTTCTCCATATGATACCAGAAGGAGATTGCTTCCAAGGCCTTTCAGAATATGTCTAAAGCCTAAAAACTGTTTCCTCATCATGACTTTATATGTAAATGATCACATTCTCCTAAAATGTCAACAATCAGAATAAATCTTATTTCATAAGCAAGCTTTTGTCTTTACTCTTTGTTGCTGGAAAGGAGTGGGACAGCTTTTGTATATTGTAATTGGGGTAGACAAACTTTGTTTTCACTTTACCTCAGTATGGAGGCCCATTTAAAAAAAAGCAAAGCCAGAAATTAAAGCTTTGTCTATCGCACTTTTTAAAATGAAGAATATAATACACAGACTTGTTATAGAAAACTAAACTTTTAAATCACCTGCCTTGAATCCTTTTGGAAATTCCATGGAATGTGTATAAATAAGGAGATCAAGAGTACACTTATCGTGATGAGCATTGCGTAATGTATACAAGTGTTGAATCACTATACTGTACAACTGAAACTAATAGAACACCATACATTAATTATACTGGAATTAAAATCAATCAATCAATAGTAACCACTCAATAATTATGGGTTCTTTAATAAGTAATGATCATTGAGATCCCAACAGTCATGATTATCAAGAACAGAATTCTCAGATGAAATTAAAGAAGAATTTCTAAGTAATCTCTCTGCCCAACATGGGGTTTGAACTCACAAACCTGAGATCAAGAGTCATGTGCTCTGCTGACTGAGCCAGCCAGATGCCCCAGAAATGTTTTAATACTATTTGTATCAGAAAATAGTAGCAGAAAACAAGGAGTTAAATGTACTAATCCTCAAAAATTTAGGAGATTAGTACTATGGAACCAATAGTTACCACTAGAAATCTTAGACTGATAAGAGCAATTTTCTTGAGATATATCTAATCAGTATGCTAGAAATTAAATACTAAAAAAAAAAAAACCCTGTTTTTTAAGTTTAGAGGGTAATCATAGAATACCATGATAATTTCCTTGAATGTAACTTGAGGAGGACATATCTCATTGCTGTGATAGTAGTCCTCCTATGGAATTTTAGAATCACAAACATTTTTTCAGGTGGAATATAAAATGGGAGAGCTATCATTCAGAACCCTTTGGCTCACCTACTCCCTAGAGCCTAGTCTCGGAAAGAACTAGGTGTTACAAATGCCGTGAAGAGGGTGAGAGGCTTCCTGTAGATTACCTTGATATATTTCATATACTATATGCTAGCTAACCGAACATAATAAAAAAATAAAATAAGATAAATTAAAAAAAAACTTTTTTCATGAAAAACGAGATGATGAATTTTAGGAATTCGAGAAGGAGAGGATAAAATGTGGGCATGACCAGGGAAAAGAAATCGGGATGAGATGTAAGAAGTAACTAGAAGAAATGAAGTTACAAAGGACTCTATCTATGACAAAGTCTGGTCCTCCCCTCTATCTTCTGGGAGCCTAGTGTGGAGCCTGGCCCAGAAGCTTTACTTTGTCTGCCCCTGAAACACTCCAGTGAACCAAAGATGAATGAAGTCAACTACAGAGGTCTGCAACGACCAGAGTGGAATGTTGCCAGGTTCAAGGACAAGCCTGAACACCACCATTCTGTAGAAAAAGCTCTAAGGCTAATAGGTCTCGGCCTGGCTGTATGACTGACCTTGGACAAGAGTCCTCACCTTCTGGGCCTCGTTTTCCTCATCTGTGATTAAATTTGGTCCTTCCCATTCTGTGATTAATCTAACTGAGACAAGACAATGATTTTAAATAAGCTGAGATTTCGTAACCCCAAAGCATTGTGCCCAAAGGCTCTCCTGTGGAAATCTGGGTGACATCAGCAGGTGTCAAGAGGTGATGAGATTAATCATATTACAACAAACAAACACATGGCTTTTTAGGGACACCTGGGTGGCTCAGTCAGTTAAGCGTCTATCTTGGGCTTAGGTCATGATCTCAGAGTCCTGGGATTGAGCCCCGCATCTAACTTCCTGCTCAGTGGGGAGTTTGCTTCTCTCTCTGCCCTCTGTCCCTCCACCTATTCGTGCTATCTCTAAAATACATAAATAAAATCTTAAAAAAAAAAACCCACATGTGACTTTTGTGCTCATGGGAAACAAGGAAATGCTAATTTAAACAAAGTTGATTAGTGCTTGCTTTGGCAGCACATATACTAAAACTGGAACGATACAGAGGAGGTTAGCATGGCCCCTGCACAGGGATGACACACAAAATCATAAACAAAGCTGGTTAAGGATAGGTGTGCTAAGGTAGTTTTGGGGAAAAGGTCCTGATACCTGTGACCTACTCAGAAATGCATCAAAAAATGAGACGGGACCGAGGAGTCAAGATGGCGAAGTAGCAGCTGAGACTACTCCAGGTTGCGGGAGATCAGCTAGATAGCTTATCTAAAGATTGCAAACACCTACAAATCCAACGGGAGATCGAAGAGAAGAACAGCAATTCTAGAAACAGAAAATCAACCACTTTCTGACAGGTAGGACTGGCGGAGAAGTGAATCCAAAGCCACGGGAAGATAGACCGCAGGGGGAGGGGCCGGCTCCCGGCAAGCGGCGGAGCAACGGAGCACAAAATCAGGACTTTTAAAAGTCTGTTCCGCTGAGGGACATCACTCCAGAGGCTTAACCGGGGTGAAGCCCACGCGGGGTCACCGTGGCCTCAGGTCCCGCAGAGTCACAGAAGGATCGGGGGTGTCTGAGTGTCGCAGAGCTTGCAGGTATTAGAACGGGGAAGCCGGCTACAGAGACAGAGCCGAGGAGTGAGCTCTAAGCTCGGGGTTACCTTGAACAGGTCGCAGGCTCGGTCAGCTCGGAGCGCGGCTGGAGGCCAGGGTGACGGGAGTAATTGGGCGCTGTTTTCTGAGGGCGCACTGAGGAGTGGGGCCCCGGGCTCTCGGCTGCTCCGGGCCGGAGACTGGGAGGCCGCCATCTTCATTCCCGTCCTCCGGAACTCTACGGAAAGCACTCAGGGAACAAAAGCTCCCGAAAGCAAACCCGAGCCGATTACTCAGCCCGGCCCCTGATAAGGGCGGTGCAACTCCTCCTGGGGCAAAGACACTTGAGAATCACTACAAAAGGCCCCTCCCTCAGAAGATCAACAAGAAACCCAGCCAGAACCAAGTTCACCTACCAAGGAGTGCAGTTTCAATACCAAGGAGAGCAGCGGAATTCCAGAGGAGGAGAAAGCAAAGCACGGAATTCATGGCTTTCTCCCCATGATTGTTTAGCCATGCAGTTAATTTAATTTTTTTTTCTTTTTCAATTTTTTTTTCTCTTTTTCTGCTAAATTTTTTTAACTTTTACCCTTTTCTTTTTTAACGTTTTTAAACTAGTTTATCTAATATATATATATATTTTTTCCTTTTTATATTTTTTCATTATTGGTTTTCTTTTTTTATTTGTTTCTTTTTTCTTTTTTTTTTTCTTCTTTCTGAACCTCTTTTTATCCCCTTTTCCCCCTCCCTCACGATTTGGGATCTCTTCTGATTTGGCTAAAGCATATTTTCCTGGGGTTGTTGCCACCCTTTTAGTAATATACTTGTTCCTTCATATACTCTCATCTGGACAAAATGACAAGGCGGAAAAATTCACCACAAAAAAAAGAACAAGAGGCAGTACCAAAGGCTAGGGACCTAATCAATACAGACATTGGTAATATGTCAGATCTAGAGTTCAGAATGACGATTCCCAAGGTTCTAGCCGGGCTCGAAAAAGGCATGGAAGATATTAGAGAAACCCTCTCGGGAGAGATAAAAGCCCTTTCTGGAGAAATAAAAGAACTAAAATCTAATCAAGTTGAAATAAAAAAAGCTATTAATGAGGTGCAATCAAAAATGGAGGCTCTCACTGCTAGGATAAATGAGGCAGAAGAAAGAATTAGCGATATAGAAGACCAAATGACAGAGAATAAAGAAGCTGACCAAAAGAGGGACAAACAACTACTGGACCACGAGGGCAGAATTCGAGAGATAAGTGACACCATAAGACGAAACAACATTAGAATAATTGGGATTCCAGAAGAAGAAGAAAAAGAGAGGGGAGCAGAAGGTATATTGGAGAGAATTATTGGAGAGAATTTCCCCAATATGGCAAGGGGAACAAGCATCAAAATCCAGGAGGTTCAGAGAACCCCCCTCAAAATCAATAACAATAGGTCCATACCCCGTCACCTAATAGTAAAATTTATAAGTCTTAGTGACAAAGAGAAAATCCTGAAAGCAGCCCGGGAAAAGAAGTCTGTAACATACAATGGTAAAAATATTAGATTGGCAGCAGACTTATCCACAGAGACCTGGCAGGCCAGAAAGAGCTGGCATGATATATTCAGAGCACTAAACGAGAAAAGCATGCAGCCAAGAATACTATATCCAGCTAGGCTATCATTGAAAATAGAAGGAGAGATTAAAAGCTTCCAGGACAAACAAAAACTGAAAGAATTTGCAAACACCAAACCAGCTCTACAGGAAATACTGAAAGGGGTCCTCTAAGCAAAGAGAGAGCCTAAAAGTGGTAGATCAGAAAGGAACAGAAACAATATATAATAACAGTCACCTTACAGGCAATACAATGGCACTAAATTCCTATCTCTCAATAGTTACCCTGAATGTTAATGGGCTAAATGCCCCAATCAAAAGACACAGGGTATCAGAATGGATAAAAAAACAAAACCCATCTATATGTTGCCTACAAGAAACTCATTTTAAACCCGAAGACACCTTCAGATTTAAAGTGAGGGGGTGGAAAAGAATTTACCATGCTAATGGACATCGGAAGAAAGCAGGAGTGGCAATCCTTATATCAGATCAATTAGATTTTAAGCCAAAGACTATAATAAGAGATGAGGAAGGACACTATATCATACTCAAAGGATCTGTCCAACAAGAAGATCTAACAATTTTAAATATCTATGCCCCTAACGTGGGAGCAGCCAACTATATAAACCAATTAATAACAAAATCAAAGAAACACATCAACAATAATACAATAATAGTAGGGGACTTTAACACTCCCCTCACTGAAATGGACAGATCATCCAAGCAAAAGATCAACAAGGAAATAAAGGCCTTAAATGACACACTGGACCAGATGGACATCACAGATATATTCAGAACATTTCATCCCAAAGCAACAGAATACACATTCTTCTCTAATGCACATGGAACATTCTCCAGAATAGATCACATCCTCGGACCTAAATCAGGTCTCAACCGGTATCAAAAGATTGGGATCATTCCCTGCATATTTTCAGACCACAATGCTCTGAAGCTAGAACTCAATCACAAGACGAAATTTGGAAAGAACCCAAATACATGGAGACTAAACAGCATCCTTCTAAAGAATGAATGGGTCAACCGGGAAATTAAAGAAGAATTGAAAAAATTCATGGAAACAAATGATAATAAAAACACAACAGTTCAAATCTGTGGGACACAACAAAGGCAGTCCTGAGAGGAAAATATATAGTGGTACAAGCCTTTATCAAGGAACAAGAAAGGTCTCCGGTACACAACCTAACCCTACACCTAAAGGAGCTGGAGAAAGAACAAGAAAGAAAGCCTAAACCCAGCAGGAGAAGAGAAATCATAAAGATCAGAGCAGAAATCAATGAAATAGAAACCAAAAAAAGCAATAGAACAAATCAACAAAACTAGGAGCTGGTTCTTTGAAAGAATTAATAAGATTGATAAACCCCTGGCCAGACTTATCAAAAAGAAAAGAGAAAGGACCCAAATAAATAAAATCATGAATGAAAGAGGAGAGATCACAACTAACACCAAAGAAATACAGACAATTATAAGAACATATTATGAGCAACTCTATGCCAACAAATTTGACAATCTGGAAGAAATGGATGCATTCCTAGAGACATATAAACTACCACAACTGAACCAGGAAGAAATAGAAAGCCTGAACAGACCCATAACCAGTAAGGAGATTGAAACAATCATCAAAAATCTCCAAACAAACAAAAGCCCAGGGCCAGACGGCTTCCCGGGGGAATTCTACCAAACACTTAAAGAAGAACTAATTCCTATTCTCCTGAAACTGTTCCAAAAAATAGAAATGGAAAGAAAACTTCCAAACTCATTTTATGAGTCCAGCATCACCTTGATCCCAAAACCAGACAAGGATCCCATCAAAAAAGAGAACTACAGACCAATATCCTTGATGAACACAGATGTGAAAATTCTCACCAAAATACTAGCCAATAGGATTCAACAGTACATTAAAAGGATTATTCACCACGACCAAGTGGGATTTATTCCAGGGCTGCAAGGTTGGTTCAACATCCGCAAATCAATCAATGTGATACAACACATTAATAAAAGAAAGAACAAGAACCATATGATACTCTCCATAGATGCTGAAAAAGCATTTGACAAAGTACAGCATCCCTTCCTGATCAAAACTCTTCAAAATGTAGGGATAGAGGGCACATACCTCAATATTATCAAAGCCATCTATGAAAAACCCATCGCAAATATCATTCTCAATGGAGAAAAACTGAAAGCTTTTCCGCTAAGGTCAGGAACACGGCAGGGATGTCCGTTATCACCACTGCTATTCAACATAGTACTAGAAGTCCTAGCCTCAGCAATCAGACAACAAAAGGAAATTAAAGGCATCCAAATCGGCAAAGAAGAAGTCAAACTATCACTCTCCGCAGATGATATGATACTATATGTGGAAAACCCAAAAGACTCCACTCCAAAACTGCTAGAACTTGTACAGGAATTCAGTAAAGTGTCAGGATATAAAATCAATGCACAGAAATCAGTTGCATTTCTCTACACCAACAACAAGACAGAAGAAAGAGAAATTAAGGAGTCAATCCCATTTACAATTGCACCCAAAACTATAAGATACCTAGGAATAAACCTAACCAAAGAGACTAAGAATCTATACACAGAAAACTATAAAGTACTCATGAAAGAAATTGAGGAAGACACAAAGAAATGGAAAAATGTTCCATGCTCCTGGATTGGAAGAATAAATATTGTGAAAATGTCTATGCTACCTAAAGCAATCTACACATATAATGCAATTCCTATCAAAGTACCATCCATTTTTTTTAAAGAAATGGAACAAATAATCCTAAAATTTATATGGAACCAGAAAAGACCGCGAATAGCCAAAGGAATATTGAAAAAGAAAGCCAAAGTTGGTGGCATCACAATTCCAGACTTCAAGCTCTATTACAAAGCTGTCATCATCAAGACAGCATGGTACTGGCA